GTTTTACGCCGCTTTTAGCAATACTCCAGCAATATCACGGCAGGGGATACGAGAAATGGGCTTCACACAGCGTACCCACGTGGGGAATCGAACCCGGGTCTTCAGCGTGACGAGCGAACGCTTTAACCATTAGGCTACCCACCGCCCCGGCTCATCAGTGACGCTGTTACACATACATATCATTGTGAGATTCATGAATGATAAATTCAGTGCTAAATGAATCATAAGTGACAATCTGAGCCACCAGTTGAACATTTCTTACAGAATAAATTCAAAGGAAGTTCACAAAGTGTAAGGGTACAGCCTATGCAAAATGAATTGTAACTGATATATTTTATTGCAGATCAATTCTGTATTTTGAATATGTATCTTAGAATCGGGATCATGTTTAACGAAATGTCAACATTCTAAATAAAATCTAATTGGCATGTGTCTTTGGACACAACATCATCGTAACAGTGTAATTTTCACACACACATTCCAACAAGTATCTTTATACTTACTACATAAATTATTTTCTTGTCTTTGGAGTTTATACGAATCGTGCACAAAATACCACAACTTAGAAATGTCCTCCCCAAAACCACATCACATTAATGAATAAAAAAGCGATTTTTTACAATAACTTTTTTCTCCACATTAACTGCTCAGTAAAATGGTATATTCCAGCCTATTCTGCGCATTTCCCTTAATTTATTGAGACGATACTTTAAGAGCTGAGTTGGCAAAATAAGAAAACCTAACCACAATATCGGCTCACTGAAACATTATCATATTCCACCGAACTCTGCGAAATTTTTATTTGAATATATTAAGACCATACTCAAAGATCAAAGGGGTGGAATAGAAGACGGCAAATCATTTCTGATGATACCTTAATCTCATAATCTGTCTGTCGAATCTTACTATATATATATTTCAACCTATATCTCACGTTGACCTAACTATATACAGACAACTTACTTAAACAGCTGACTGTAATAACGAGGTAAACAGAGCATTTATGAGTAGTATTTATGTGTACAACAATAACCTTAATGCATTATCAGGTTATTAAACACTCACCATATATACACCTTACTGGCAAACAAGGATAAGTTGGACCGGCGCTGAAAACACGTTTACGAGAAGTAGGCGGCGCACGGCAATGAGCAAACCCATTTGGTTTGTGAAAGGTAGAGCAGATGTAGGCTAGACGATGAAACTGATTCCGCGCGTAGCTGCCACGCCTTTGCTCATAAGACTCTCACGTGGTCGGTGTAGCAAGTCGCGGACAACCTGGGGCCCCTTCGCTGACAATAGCAAGCGCCAGTGGGCGACATTCATACATGCTAATACAGGTCAATTGTCAGGTCGGTGCTCAACTTATCCTTGTTTGCCAGTATGTTTCCTGTTCTTTGCCTCGTCGATATATGGCTGATGTAGCGCCGATGCGACTTAAAATTTAACTCACTCCAATACTGAGCATATACATTGATTGTAACTCATATATGACATATAGTAGTCACAACACTGGACCAGAGACTTTAATCACAAATACCAATCAGCAATTTAGATAATACAGAAAACTGCTGATCAAGCAAACCACACGTTGACAGCTTAATGTTATGCCTTCACTCGTAATGACGAGTTCTTTACATAACATGTTTTCTGGTGTGAAAAAGATGACTTAAAAATGATCATGCTTGCTGTGACTTTTGCGGCAAATGACATCCAGATCACAATAACCAGATTTGTTTGTTCGCTTGTTGTTTAATGCCGCACTCAGCAATATTCCAGTTATATGGCGGCAGTCTGTAAATTATCAACCCTGGACCAGATAATCACGTGATCAACATCATGAGCATCGATCTACGCAACTGGAATACGATGGCATGTGTCAACCAAGTCAGCCAGCCATACCACCCGATCCCGTTAGTTGCCTCTTCGACAAGCATGGGTTACTGAAGACCACTTCTAACCCGGATCTCTACGGGTACAGTGACCAGAAAGGCATCATGACCTATGGGTGTACACAAACACGTTTGCACCCGGATGCACGCGTGTAAGTTGATGGATAGTAAAGACGGATGTCACGGATGACGTAGATAAAACAAACAAATCGGCAAGCCCTCGACGCGCTCCGGGCGTTTTCCGCACTAATACCTTGTCAAATAGCGTTAAGCTTGCGGACTTTTAATGAACACGATCAGCAGGTCACTGAGGATACCTACGTATTATAAGGAGACGTAACAGCCAGCCACCACAGCATCATCACAGAACAGTCCTGCGGGTGTAGGGAGCGGAGGCAGAGCTGGAGAGCAAGACGCAGGCTAGGAAAATACAACCTTGCCTAACACCATGCTGAAACACGCAGTTTCTATTATAATCCCAGCAGCGATTGTCGTATGCCTGGCGCTACAGGAAGTCCAAGGTCTGTATATGAATATATTGCTTTGCTAATATCCATATCATTCAATATGTACAGATTATTAGCTGAGCATGTTTTCATATTGTATACCGTAATGCGCCGCCTATGACGACACCTGTACACCTGAGGAGCCGTTGAAAGGCGAAAGTTCTTGTTTAGATAAGGGACTTTTGGCAAGAAGAAATACCTGGACTCATATTTTAAATATTTATTGCTTATACACCTTCAGAATATTTATGTAATGTGTGTGTGTTTGTGTGTGTGTGTGTGTGTGTGTATATATATATGCATATATAATATATATATGTATATATATACACATATACATGGTGGTCAGGATTTTCTTTGTCTTGATTTGTTTTTTCTTTCACAGCTGTTGTGTTGAGGTGTTCGGTGGTTTTGTTGAGGTTGTTTTGGTTTTGTTTGGTTTTGGTTTTTTGGGGGGTTGTTTTGTTTGTTTTTTTGTTGGGTTATCTTTTTGGGGAGGGTAGGGACATTGGTTTTGGGGTTGTTTTATTGTTGTTTATTGTTTCTCCCCACATTGTTCTACCACGACGTGGGTGTTTGATGAAGTGAGTGAGTGAGTTTAGTTTTACGCCGCACGCAGCAATATTCCAGCTATATGGCGGCGGTCTGTAAATAGTGAGTCTGGACCAGACATTCCTGTGGTCAACAGTATGAGCATCAATCTACGCAATTGGGTTTTTGATGAAGACAGAGGTTATTAGACATGTGGTTGTGCATGAATGTATGGCCATTCTCCCTTATCCGCCGATCTGGATTACGTTTGCAAGTGAAAGACAAAAAGGAGGTGAACATTATTTGATACAAACTCTGTTAAACTTATACCTTTTACGGGTAATGGTTCACAGCAAAAAGGGCTGGTGGGGTAGCCTAGTAGTTAAAGCGATAGTTCTTCATGCAACAGGCCATGGTTCGATTCCCCGCATGGATACAATGTGCGGAGCCCATTTCTAGTGCCCCCAGCTGTGTTATTGCTGAAATATTGCTAAAAGCTGCGTAAAACTAAACTCACTCATAGTGAAAAAAATTCATTCAGATCTCTCAACACTTTGTCAACTAGAACTATTATTAGAACTTTTATTTAGAGATTTATGTGGCACTCAAAACTTGATCTGAAACTTTGACAACATGTAGTGCCAGTTTAACATACAGTTGACGTTCCCTTGTCGTACGTCACATGGCGGTAATGAATACAGGTTAATGTTCGAGCCGTCATAACATTTGATGTATGCGAATTGATGTGGCGCCTACCAAGGTCCACCTCCAAAAAGTGAAATTAGAGCAAAGGAGATCATTACTCCACAGAAAGTATTTGTAACGGGAAAACTTACTGGTTTCCTTGATATTCATTTGCGATCGGTTTACACCGTTACCTTCGGAAGCGTTTTAGGGCCATGCTTTTTCCTTTTTTCTTGAATTTCAAGATAATGTGGTGTTATCATACGACATGAAAATATATTTGAAGTTAATTATCTTGAAATTCCAACATCATTATCTTGAAATTTCAAATTGGTATCTTGAAATTTCAAGAATTTTCTTTAAAACTCATGACCGAAAGGCTTCCGTACAACGTATTTTTTTTCTTAATATTTTAAGATGCTAAGTTACGGTGGAATAATGGGGCCATCTGTTTTTGTTGTTTTTTCTTGAAATTTCAAGATTGGCTTGAAAGTTGAGATTTCAAGATGTCGATCTTAAAAATTCAAGTTATTAAGTTGAAATTTCAAGTTATTTTACTTGAATGTCAAACAATGATAGCGTAAAAAATCTTGAAGTTTCAAGATATTACGTTAGTGGTATGTTAAAATTTCAACTTATTAACTTGAAATTTCAACATAGCATCTTAAAATTTCAACATAGCATCTTAAAATTTCAACACATTAACTTGACATTTCAACACAGCATCTTGAAATTTCGACATAGAATCTTAAAATTTCAAGATTTGTTACGCGATCATTAAGTTGAAATTTCAAATAAAATATCTTGAAATTTCAACTTAATAACTTGAATTTTTAAGATCGACATCTTGAAATCTCAACTTACAATCTTGAAATTTCAAGTTACTACTTGAAATTTCAAGAAAAACAAACAAAAAAAAACGATGGCCCTATTATGCCACCGTACTAAGCTGCAATGTCAAGATATTAAGTTGAAATTTAAATTTAGAAAAAAGAAACAAGAAAAAAAACACGTCCCTAAATGGCTTCCGTAGTTTCCAGAAATACGTGGTTTTGTTTTCTTATTATATTTGACATCAACATATTTAATACGAATCACTTCAACATGTATAGTATTGGTACTTGTATTCGGGGAGCACCCTTGGGCCGCATGTGGCACTGCAATCCGCATTACAGAGTTGTGTCCCTTAGGCGTGCTGGATACTGTGTTCATCGAATCCCAGACTCGCCATGGCACCATCTCCGTACTCGTTTCGGGATAGTAACAGTCTGAGACAGGCTTATTAGCTTTCCTCCAACAGGACGATGACACTCACTCACTCACTCACTCACTCATATTTCAGGTGCAGCTAACGTTCCTGCGGTGTCTCTGTCCCCGAAAAGACCCGGTGTGTCCGGTAATGCGCCATCTTCTGTAAATGTGGGAATATCCCTGATGAGAGAGGATGTCCAACGTGTCGTTGTCGACCATGTGGTAAGCTCCTATAACCGTAACCTCCGTCAGATGTTCCTGCTGCTAGGATATCTGGATCTATCCTGTTGCACCAGGTGCAAATAATTGCTCAGTTTATTTTGTCATTAAAGCATCATTTCTGGGTGGTATTTGTAACTACAGACTGTTCCCAGTCTGTGCTTATAGGGCCTATAAGTCTCGCGATGCGCTACTTCCGGCACTAAGCTGGTTCCTGGCTCCCTTTGCTCGCGCGATATGCGAGACGGGGTCCAGCTTACTTCCGTTACCAGATTTCCAGTGACAAGTGTAAATTCAAGAACCAGTACCAAATTGTGCCAAATATGAATTTACAACACCGGACCAAGTGTACTACCATGCTTGGCTGTGACAGCTGTTGACAGTCGGAATAGTTGGCTAACTTGGGGATGGTTAGATCGGAAATTTGTCATTCCTGCAAGGATTATCGGTTCCTTACTGTCAAAAACCGACAACCATGAGACCATTCGAAAAGGTATGAAACGTTGTTTGTCACCGGAAGTACTGAGGTCTCGCGAAGTGCCGTGACTTTACTTACGGGCCCTATTTCCAGTTCGTGTTTATTGGGTGTGTCTATCAAATATTACAGGACCGTCAATCTGCCCCTTACGTCGCTGTGCTCGACCAATCGAATGTCGTTTTGGGGTAAAGAAAGTGAACGGTTGCCCCACGTGTGAGTGTAATCCTGGTGAGTGTGTTTTCTGACAACCAGACATGATTTTATGATTTCTGAAATAATCACTAGTGTTCGATATTGTGATATGCTCATCTGCTTTACAAAAATGAGCATTTAATTATCTAAACGTGATATTCATTTTCGATATTATGGATAATACCGATGTTACAGATGCTCTTTCATTCCTCTTCTGTTCAAATCCTTCGCATTGTCATTCCTATTCCCCTTCCTATCTTCTTCTGCAACAGTACCCCTCCCCTTCCCATCCTCTCCAACCATACCCCCCTTTTCCCATCTTCCCCAACCGTATTCCCCCCTTCCCACCTTTTCCATCCGTACCCCATCTCTTCCCATCCTCACCATCCGTACCCCATATCTTCCATCCTCCCTAACTGTACCCCATCTCTTCTTGTTCTACAGGATATATTCTCCTCCTTGCCTTGTTCTACAGAATATATTTCTCCTCCTTGCATTGTTCTACAGAATATATGTTCTCCTCCTTGCATTGATCTGCAGAATATATTCTCCTCCTTACATTGTTCTACAGAATATATTCTCCTCCTTCCATTGTTCTACAGAATATATTCCCCTCCTTGCATTGTTCTACAGTATATATTTCTCCTCCATGCATTGTTCTACAGAATATATTGCTCCTCCTTGCATTGTTCTACAGAATATATTTCTCCTCCTTGCATTGTTCTACAGAATATATTCTCCTCCTTGCATTGTTCTACAGGATATATTTCTCCTTCTTGTATTGTTCTACAGTATATATTCTTCTCCTTGTATTGTTCTACAGAAGATATTCTCATCCTTGCATTGTTCTACAAAATATATTTCTCCTCCTTGCATTGTTCTTCAGAATATGTTTCTCCTCCTTGCATTGTTCTACAGAATATATTCTCATCCTTGCATTGTTCTACCGAATATATTTCTCCTCCTTGCATTGTTCTTCAGAATATATTTCTCCTCCTTGCATTGTTCTACAGAATATATTTCTCCTTCTTGTATTGTTCTACAGTATATTTCTCCTCCTTGCATTGTTCTACAGAATATATTCTCCTCCTTGCATTGCTCTACAGAATGTATTCTCCTCCTTGCATTGTTCTACAGAATATATTCTCCTCATTGCATTGTTCTACCGAATATATTTCTCCTCCTTGCATTGTTCTGCAGTATATATTTCTCCTTGTAGCGTTCTACCGAATATATTTCTCCTCCTTGCATTGTTCTACCGAATATATTTCTCCTCCTTGCATTGTTCTACAGTATATATTTCTCCTCCTTGCATTGTTCTACAGTATATATTTCTCCTCCTTGCATTGTTCTACAGTATATATTTCTCCTCCAGGCCCTGCCGATTGTTCCAAGGTCGGGTGCCCACCAGATGTCGCTATCAAGTGTGCTTATGGCGTCAAGATAATAAATGGCTGTCCTTCGTGTTCCTGCAACTCTGGTAAGGAAATTGTTCGAAAGATCGTGGCTGGTTGGTTGTCTTTTAATTTCAGCAATACATGGCGGCGGTCTGTAAATAATCGAACCAGTGATCAACAGCATGAACAACGGTTGGGATGCCCCTCCCTTCCCATGTATCAACTCAAGTCAGTGTCTCTGACCACCCGACCCCGTTAGGTGCCTTTTACGAGAAGCTTGGGTTGCTGACGACCCATTCTAACCTGGATCTTCACGGGTTTGAAAGATCGAAAGGTCCTGAATGATGATATAAGAAATATTCTCACAGACTCTTAGCTTCAAATCTATTTCAACAAGTTCAGCAATGTCTTCATGTCATCAAGAACTCAGATCTTTTTATTTTAACCCATCTGTGATATCATCATTTTATGTAGCATTTTACTGAAAGTAAAGTCGCTGGGGTCAAATTTGAATTTCATCAATATATGAGCGGCAAATCGTTAATCAAGCTGTCAAAATTATGTCGGACCCAACTCACTACTCAAATACGGAATACAACCTTCCCCCTTCAGGCCGCCGCTACAAAGTTCCAGTTGTGAAAACTAGGAGAGCCCTTACATCCTTTATTCCAAGTACCATATCTCTCTTAAACAAATGTGAAGATACTTGAATTCACGAATTTATGTAAAATAACGTACTTTATCTCTCTGATGTGTCAGTAGCTGTATTGGCGGAATTATTGTATTCTATTCTATTCTATTCTCACTGATTGTAGGGCCAGTGGCGGTTCTTACAACCGTTAACATTCAATTTCTTAAAGCCGAATCTAAATGATTATTGTGAATCCTTCTATCTGCAGTGGAAGCTGTCAAAACCGGCAGTTGTCTTATCCGGCAAGTTGTCAACAGCAGCATAAAAACTCAGTCCCGTCCATGACTAGTACATTTATCCTCATTTAAAAGCTTTGCGACAGCTGTCAATGACAGTTCTCGGCATGAAATGAGCCTCTGAATGTGTGTTTATACAGTAACAAGCGCTGTCTAATTCGGTGCGTGGCGATTTTGATATATTACATGTGATGTCCGATTGCACTCACACCTGGGTAGCCTAGTGGTCAAAGCGTTCGCTCGTCACGCCGAAGACCCGGGTTCGATTCCCCACATGGTTACAATATGTGAAGTCCATTTCTGATGTCTCCCGCCGTGATATTGCTTAAATATAGCAAAAGTGCCACTCACCCACTCACCAAACACTCACTCCACTCCACTCTACTTCCTAACATTTGCAGGTCCAGTGTCAAAGCGCCGTTGTTTCAGGATATGCAAGAACGGCTTTAAAATGGTCAATGGTTGTCAATCATGTCTGTGCAATCCAGGTATGTTTTAATTTAAACAGTGTGGCGGTGGGGACATCCTCGTCACGCCGAAGACCCTGGTTCGATTTCCACATAGGTTACAATGTCTCAAGCCCATTTCTGGTGTCCACCGTCGTGATTTTGCTGGAACATTGATAAAGCGGCTTAAAACGAAGCTCACTCACTCATTCTTTTTGTGCATCGGTAGCGCGACTACTCCCAAGTCCTAAACAATGCTCCCATCTGAGGTGTTCACAGACAGATCAAATGCGCCTGAAAGTATCGTTCGTGTCGGTGTAAGGGGTCTGCAATTCGCTGTGTAGAGTTGTGTCCCTTTGACTTGCCAAGACCCTATGCTCGTGGTTTCGAAAGAACTAGTACGTCTTGATCACGGGGCTTTAACGGCTAAAACTGCCATCAAGGTATTGTTGCTGTCACTAACGGGGTCTTATCACTTTATATAAAGGGAAAGGGATGTAACGAGGTCAACACACTCCAGTTCGTTACGAAATAAGACATAGAGAACAAAAATCGACAGAATTGTGTCATACCCGTTCGCCATTGACGACCTTGGCCGCTAACCTGCCCCGCACCTTAAAAGGAGTCAGCGATTTGATGGGACATATATTTTATTTTTAGCCGGTAAAGAGCTCCCTCGGCTCTTTTAAGTGCGGGGCAGGTTATAGGCCAGGGATCAATGGCGAACGGGCACGACATGATTCTGTTTGCGATGAATGAATGTATGCGTAAACTATGACAGTTAGATGTAATGTGTCCTCGAAAGAATGGCGACTAGCGCGCTGAAAGGCGCCATCTGTTCAACATGTTTTGAGATTGCGTCGTATGTACTGTGAAATAAACAAGAAAATGGGTGAGTTACCGCTACAAATTCTGGACAGGGATTTTGGATCGGAATCGAGAAATCACGATTATTCTAGCTTCCGAAGACCCTAGCTCCCAAAGTAATGCTTCGATTTTCGTTCTCCATGTCTTATTTTGTAGGTAAATATATTGGCTTGAAATGTGTGCATACTTTAAATGGGACAGATACAGTGAACATTGTTGAATTCGCCCTGAAACGAACTGGGTGTGTTGACCTCGTTACATCCCTTTCCTTTTATATAGTGATAAGACCCCGTTAGTGACAGCACATACCTTGATGGCAGTTTTTAGCGTTACAAGCCCCCGTGATCAAGACGTACTAGTTCTTTCGAACCCACGAGCATAGGGTCTTGGCAAGTCTTGAGATCTGTGATCTTGAATTTATCATAAAGACTTATGAAAGCATTGTTGAACCCTACACACTCACTCACCGGTTACTCTTCTACTTGTAGGTCCAAGTACCTGCCCAAAGATACGCTGCTCCCTGCTCCAGGCGTGCCGTTTTGGCGTGCAGAAAGTAAACGGTTGCCCCACGTGTTCTTGTAAGCCTCGGTTGTGTCCCCTTTGGTCCAGCTACCAATGCAGGAGGCGCTGTCTGTCAGGGTATACCATCCGTACAGTAGGTCGTAGAGGATGTCCGACATGCATGTGCAGACGAAGGTCACGTTTTGGTGAGTATTGCACGCTGTTGACGTACACGAGATGCTTTAAACGTAACGTTCTTGAAAGGAATTTAAAAATTGGCTGAACATGAATACATGACAAGTTTCATGGATAACAGTTTCTTTATATATTTTTACGACGTTTCAGAGCAAACTCTTTTGCTCCTTCGTCAGGTGAATTCTGAGTCAGATACTATAATATTCTCCCACCATGCGTTGTGTTTTTATCTTACACGTGTATCTATACCATTCAAAAATGTAGAGGATATTCCTTTTGCGAGCATTACACGAGCAAAATGCCAATGCATATGGGTAAAAGTAATATATATCCATACAGATGAAACTCTTCCAAAGAAAATGGAATAAATTGTCACATTTTCCCTTGATTTCTCTTCATCATCTGTTTCCTCCTTGGTTTCATCATTTGTAGTTTATCAATCTTGTAAATCCAGTATCCCCTACTTTTTTAAATGGTATGTATTCACCCGTGGAGAAGCGTGGGGCATTTCCAGAATGTAGTTATGACACAGCATTTTGAATCATATGGTGTTTCAGTTTGGGTGTGAGTCTTTCTACACAGTGGAGGGCATCAATACATACCAATAAAGGGGAAGATATACATTCTATTCTTAGGAACATCTGTGTCCCCCGCCGTGATATTGCGGGAATATTGCTGAAGCGAGCTCACTCACTCACTCACTCACTCATTCACTCACTCACTCACTCACTCACTCACTCAACCGAACATGACTTCATTAGCAGGACCATGTTCGAGTGAGTTATAGTTTCTAATGATTGTGGTATTTTGTGTGTGTGTGTGTTTTTGCTTTTGTTTGTGTTCTTTTTTTTGTTTTTTTTTGTTTCTTTTTTTGTAAGCAACAATTCATATATCTATGACTTGACATTCGTCATTCTTCACCTTGTTACTTTTAAATTTCAGCTGACATTGAATAGAAACCGAGACGCATATCCATTATCCGAGGTTGCTGTGGTACAGATTTGTATATTTTCGTGTTATATATGTGGAAGATTTTACATATTGTACAATCTTAATTTTTTAGTGGCCCCTTTTCAGATTTATTTTGATGAACAATACTAAATAAAGTCCACGTGAAATAATCTCTTCTCGTATTTTTAAATACTATTTAATAAAACGGACTATTGTTAAACGGTGTTTAGACTATAACATATGGGAACAGGAGAGGTCTTGTAACCCAGCGGTCAAACGGTTCGCCTCTTAAACCAGAGGTCCGGGTTCCATGCGTGAAGCGCGTGGTCGTAAGAACTATTACCACAAGGAAATATGTACGGTGGCATAAGAGGGCCATCTTTTGTGTGTGTGTGCGTGTGTGTGTGTGTGTTGTTGAAATTTCAAGATTGTAAGCTGAAATTTCAAGATGTTGATCTTGAAATTTCAAGATAATAAGTTAAAATTTCAAGATATTTTATTTGAAACTTCAATTTAATGATTGCGTAAAAATCCTGAAATTTCAAGATCGTACGTTAGTGGTATGTTAACATTTCAGCTTAGTATCTTGAAATTTCACCTTATAAACTTGGGGAAATTCAACACAGCATCTTGAAATTCATCATAGTATCTTGAATTTTCAAGATTTTTACGCGATCATTAATTTAAAATTTCAAGTAAAATATCTTGAAATTTCAACTTATTAACCTGAAATTTCAAGATCGCCATCTTGAAATTACAACACAATCTGGAAATTTCAAGTCACTACTTGACATATCAAAAACAACAACACATGGCTATTATGCCACCGTAAATATGTGCTTGGTGAGCCGAAATGAAATGAAATTATGGGTTGACTTAAATTATATTTGAATTTATGTTTACACCTGCCTAACTACGCGTTAAAGTTCAAACTGTAATATCAATTTCGTAACCCTTTTTAGGTCATTCCGGGTTTTTTCTTTTTTTCTTGATATTTCAAGATAGTAATCTGAAATTTCAAGATACTAAGTTGAAATTTAAACTAACCATCTTGAAATTTCAAGATCATTTCTTAATGATATTTATCTTAGGATATTTATATAGCGCACATATCCACACACTAGTGCATGCTCAAGACGCTGGTATCTTTTCCCTCGATCATTGGATGTCAATCACAACGGCACATCTTATCATCAATCTCAACTCCCTGGGGATCATACAACTGTTGCTGCCACTAGGCGCACCGAGGTATTGCAGCTCTCCCATCCTTACGAGGTACCCAGTCACAGCTTGGTGCACTGGGACACATAGTCACAGTACTTTGTCCAACTTTACTGCACGTTGCTGTACCCGCAACTAAGTGTTTGCACGTATTCATGTGGCCACCATCTGGTCATATACCAAACGGATTCGTGGGTTCTTTAGAGCACAGGGTTAGTGTGCTGTACACTGGGGGCTGTGACAACACTGAAAGCAGTCTGCACACAAAAGTTGACTCAAGGCTTTTAACACCCGGTCACTTAAGGGCTCGATCCCGGCACGTCATGGATCACTAGCCTGGCGCCTTAGCCAGCTCGCCCACCATGCCCCCCAACTAATATGCATCTTGAAATTTCAACTAAGCATCTTGAAATTTCAAGAAAAAGAGAAAGAAAAAAACACATGTCCCTAAAAGGCTACCATACTATCAACAGGAACACATATTCCTTTAGCGTATAAGGAAACAGCTGTGAAAATTATGTAAATGGACCGCTGAAACTCGTGTTGACACCAGGTGTTCACTAAAAAGGGGCCCCACTTCCCCAGCACAAAATGGGTGACCACCTTAAAATCATCCTCTCTCTCTCTCTCTCCTCTCTCTCTCTTCTCCCCTCTCTCACACACACACACACACTCCACACTCCACACTCCACACTCCAAACTCCAGCCTTAATTATGAACGGTCCCTTAGGTAAGACAGATCCACAATGGTTTGACAGCACCATGTCAGAGGTCGTTGGTTTAACACAACTGGCAAACGAGACAAGTGTTCCTTCTTGTTTTCTTCCCAGATCTAACATACATTCCGCGAAGTAAGTGTCTAACTAAACCAAACTCACTCACTCACTCACTTGCCTTGATGAACCACTTAAAGAAAGTAATATACACCTGACGTGAATGCACTAGCTAGAACCTATGAGTCGTCCAGTGTATATATCACAAAGAATATCTCACGTAGAAAAGGTCATTTATAAGTTATATTTCAAAATGTAATATGTTTCAGGGGGTATTTGAATACATATAAATCATTCAGAACAATTCATGGAATACACATAACACTTAGAAGAAACAATGGCTTATATCATAAAACATTCTGAGTAAAACTATTGCATATATGCAGCATTCAGAGCAAACTATTGCATATAGGAATCATTTAAAACATATCATCATGTACATGTATATTATACATTCCGAACAATCATTGAGAACCATTACTTTTTAACGTATAAATCATTCCGAACAACACATTGCATATATAAATCACTCGGAACAAAAGAATTGCATATAAATTTTCTAAACATCCAAAGACCGTATGCATATTTCGGCGACCATAATTGTAGTCGTCGTTAGTAGCAATGGCACGTTTGACAGCCGTTGACGTATTTGAAGCCGCGGGGACACACGTCGATGGGAGGAGGAGGACACGGTGGTAGAGAGCAACAGCTACACGTTGGACAGCCGTTCACTTCCACGTATCCAAATATACACCATTGACTGCAGTTAAAGGGGGAACAACCTGGAACACACAGCAATCAGACATGGGCATGTTTGTTGACGTCACACTCGTACAAGCTGAAGTCATACATCATCAATCATATGTGGCAGTGTTATACCTTGTGTAACAATGCTTCATCTGTTATACATTTATCATGTAGATTTAGTAAGGGGCCGTGGTGTGCTATATTTAGACTTGTGCTAGATTTAGACAGAAAGATCTGGAATGGAATACCAGGATCTATCCATCCATCCATCCATCATCCATCCATCCATCCATCCATCCATCCATCCATCCATCCATCCATCCTTCCATTCATCCATCCATCCATCCATCTATCTGTCTACCTACCTACCTACCTATCTATCTAGCTGTCTATCTATCTAGAATTTCACTGATCAAGAGCTTAGTTGAAAAAGTGTCTTGAGTTTTGATTTGAATCCAGTGAGAGTGGTCTGGGATTTAATATGGATTGGCAGTTCATTCCACAAGTATGGTCCGGCAAATTCAAAGGCTCTTTTGCGAAAGGTCTTTGTGCGTGATGTTGGTACCTGCAGTTGAAGCTTCTCTTTGGATGTGAGTGAGCGACGTGGCTGGTATCTGTGAATAAGACTGGACAGGCAAGACGGAGCTGATCCATCCAGGCACTTGAACACCAGTACCAGTATGTTATACTGAATACGGTACCTCACTGGTAACCAGTGGAGGTGTTGCCGGACCGGTGTCATATGGTCATACTTCTTTGTTTGCTAACAACCCTGGCAGAAGTGTTCTGGTCCTTTTGTACATTATTTGCATCTTTTGCAATAAAGAAGTTGTCTATCCATAAAAAAGTGTTCCTCTTCGTCGTTTCTTCGGTTGTTGATTTGTGATTCCCAAGAGAAGAGAATTACAATAGTCGAGGCGTGATGTTACCAGTGCATGTTGATATCTCGTCTGATATGTCCAATGTTGCGGATGTTATGGTAGGCTTGCTTGGAGATGAGGTTGACATGTGACTCAAAATTAATCTGACTGTCAAAAATGACTCCTAGGTTACGTACTTCAGAGCTTGGTGTGATCTCACAACCGCCAAATTTTACTTGTGGCAGTGAGACTCTAGGTCGACAGAATATCAACAGTTCTGTTGTGTCTTCCTTCATTTTGAGGTGGTTACATGTCATCCAACTTCTCATTTGTTCTCGTCACGCCGAAGACCCGGGTTCGAATCCCCACATGGAGTACAATGAGTGAAGCCCATTTCTGGTGTCCCCCGCCGTGATATTGCTGGAATATTGCTAAAAGCGGCGTAACACCAAACTCAGT